GAACTACTCAAGGACCCAGGCACATCTTATTTCTATCTGTATTGTCCATTCCTGCATATAGTCAGTATTCAATACGTGAGTACCAACCCAGGGATGGATGGATGGGTGGGTGAATGAGTGGATGGATGAGTGGGTGGATGGGTGGGTGGATAGGAGGGTGGATAGATAGGTAGATGAATACAAGAGTAAAAATGATGGATGAGTGGATGGATGGAAGGGTGGGTGGGTGGGTGGATGGATGGATGGATGGTGGGTGGGTGGGTGGGAGGGTGGATAGATAGGTAGATGAATAGATGAGTAAAAATGATGGGTGAATGGATGGAAGGATGGATGGATGGATAGGTGGATAGGTGGGTGGGTGGATGGATGGATGGATGGATGGATAACGTTGAATTTATTTACAAATTGTTTGTCATCTAAGACCAGGACTTTGTAAATGTATATCTCTGTCCTAAAAATTATCTTGAAAACCTCACCACAAAGAGCTGGGATGTAGCTCAGTGGTGGAATACTTGCCAAGCAGGAACAAGGTCCTGGTTTCCATCCCCAGTCCCCACTGTGTAGAGAACATAAAAGAAATTAGAGATGAGCTCTGAAATTGTGGGCCTGTGCCATTGAGGTTTTGGATTCTGATCCTGCCTGGCAAAGTTGCCCTTAAGGGGTCCCAACAGAGTGGTTCTGAGCAGTGGCTCTTGGGAGTCCCGGGTCCTCAGGCCCTCCCTCCTTGTATTCATGCATAGCTCTGTTTTTACATATCCCAGTGTAAGCTCACGCACCTATGCACACATGCACATGGGTGCGCTTTCATGTGTAGAAAGTGACAAGATGAAGGTAACAAAAGAAGTGGAGCAAGTGAAAGGGGAGGGGCCCAAGGGAGAAAGGTGCCATCAAGAAAAGTCCACTCTCCCAAGGGTGAGTGAGTGAGGGTCTGAGCTCCAGCTCAGGCTGGAGGCTGTCTGCCGTTCACACAGAGAACCCAGAGCCCATGGACAGGGGGACATGGAAATGGATCCTCGGGAGAAAATGTGAGGCTAGGGGAGAAACAAAGGCGCGAGCACATCCTCTGGAAGGGGCAGGAGGAGGGCAGGAATGGCGGTCCACCGCTGAGCTGGCAGCTCAGGGCGGCAGCTGGGGGAGGGGAAGGTCAGTGCTGGCTCCAGAGGGCCATCCTGCTCTTTCAGCCACAGCAGGGGCAGCAGCAAAGTGCCACAGCCCTGCTGCCGACACAGTTGGTAGGGATGGAGGGAGGGACAGCAGGAGGACCAAAGTCGAAAGGTCTTGATGGCTGCAGGTGGTGCAAACCAGCTGCCTATGGCCCTGCAAGCTGTGGGCCTATTTTTTTCTTTTCATTAGAGTAGCCGGGGTTACCCTGCAGCTCTACTAAAGGGGGGAAGTCAGCATTTCCACTTTGACAACATCCAGACCTTCCCCCACGGGAACCACAGATTAGCCTCCTGGATTAAGCTCTCCTGACTCCCTCCTCCAAAGCCGTGTGTGTGTGTGTGTGTGTGTGTGTGTGTGTGTGTGTGTGTGTGTGTGTGTGTGTGTGTGTGTGTGTGTGTTGGAGAGGGGGTGGGGATGGGGAAACTGAGACTTCAAGATGCTGCTGAACTGTCACACTGAGCTCAACATGCAGCTCTGGTGGCATTTAGAGGCAGGATGGATGGGAGCCTACCCCAACAGTAGGAGCAATTAATGACCGGGTATTAATAATGTTGGCAATTAGCACTCACAGGAAGATGGGAGGGGGGAGCTACTCACCAGGGGATGGTGGGAAGAAACAGACAGCACACAGGGAGCAGGAAACAAATGGGTGGGCTGTGTGGCACATAGAACTCAGGGAAAGCAGTTACCTTGGGGTTTGTCCTGGGTACATGGGGACAAGGGAAGATAACTTCTCCAGACACCAACAACCTGTCCATTGCACCCCTTCTCTGTGAGCAAAATGGAGGGTGATCAGAGTTCTCAGAGAAGAAACTCTGAGGACAGGTCATGGAAAGGGTGCTCGTGAGAGCTCTGGAAACTTCTCCATGTGAGAAGACTCCAGATCAGCCCAGAAACAGCCGTTCCAGTCTGGGAGATTTAAAAGCTGTGGCCAGTCAGATTGTCCTTTAGGAAGAAATGCTTCTTATAAGGTGGATGAGAAAGGAAAAGGGGCGGGGAAGGGGGGGATTCCAAGCAAGTATGTCACCCATGGCCTCACAGAGAGAAAAGGACATCGGACATTTCTTTTTCTTTTCTTGATACTAATCCTGGGGCTTGAACTTGGGGCCTGGGCACTGTCCCTGAGCTCAAGGCTAGTGCTCTACTCCTTGAGCCACAGTTCCACTTCCAGCTTTTAATTCGAATATAAGCTTTTAATTGGAGATAAGACTTTCCTGCTTGAACTGGCTTTGAACCATGATCTTCAGATCTCAGCCTCCTAAGTAGTGAGGATTACAGGTGTGGGCCACTGACATTAGACATTTGTCAGGGAGGTGTCTCCAGGGAGGAAGAGCAATAATGGGCACTGCTTCCTCACAAAGCAAGGTCATGTGTCCTCATGGGAAGGCACGAGGAGGCAGAAAACATCTATAGATGAGGGTACAGAAGGACATCCTGATGAGCTGAATAAGATATGCCATTACTGGCTCAGAAGCCAATAGCTAACTTGCAGGAGTGCAGGCCCAACGGGGGAGGAGATTGCCCCATGCTACCTAGGACCTGCAGTTTCTCTGAGCTATTGACAAAACCACCTGTGTACACATGTGTGGTGTGCACACACACACACTCACACACACATGCCATTCATCATAGTAAGGCTACAGAGAAACTAAGTCAGAGACCAAAGAGAAGCATTCCAAACCCTACCAGAACACAATGGTGAGTCATTGAAGAGACAGAAGACAAGATGGAACTGGGTAACTGAGAAATACATCTAGGCTAATAAACACTTTACTGAAATAATAATCGCTAATAAACACTTTCTGAATCCCATCCCAAATCAAAGCTCAGGGGCAAAGCACGTATCTAGCAAGTGAAACGTCCTGAGTTCAATTCCCAGTACCAAAAAAGTAAAAGATAAAAGTAGAACAAAACAACAACACAATTAGATCAAAAAAGGTAAGAAGAGAGACCAGGGAATGCAAGAACCAGCCTCCTGGCTGCAGGGGTAAGATACTTTCCTTTCTGAAAGATGAAGCAGTCTCTCCCAGAAGAAAGTCAAGAGACCTCAGGACCAGGTACAGAGGGGCCTGAAGCTATTAATCACATCTTGTCTTGCTCTTCAGATTCTACCCCAATGACAGTGGAGAAGAAAACAAGTATCTGTTATATTAAAGGCTGGACTCTAAGTACGAATTAAAGAAAGATGTTTCAGGCTGAGTCATATTCCCCCAATCTGAATTCCTATGTTGAAATGTACTCCATAGGACCTCAAGATGTAATTTGGAGTCAGGGTCTTTGAAAACCCCGTCTCCTACTGGCCATGTCGAGACCACCAGGGTAGGTATCTATCCAATCTGTTGATCTTATAAGGGGTGGAAATTTGGACATGAAAAGAAATGCCAGGGCACAGGAGCAGAGAGCAGAAAGGCCATGTGAAAGGCTGGACAGCCAATGCATGGGCATCAGTGAGCCAAGGAGAGACATCAATGAGCCTTGATCTTGGACTTGCAGCCTCTAGAATTGGGAGGGAAAAACAAAACAAAACAAAACAGCATCTGCTGTTTGAACTCCCAATTGGCGATACTGTGCTCAGGCAGCCCTCAGGAACTCATGAAGAAGGCAGTATGTTACAAGGGGAAAGTAGGGTGGATCAAGGAGCCACTCACAAATTCAATGAAAGGTCTTTCGCCCCAGATGTGTTAATTATTTGGTGAACGTGCCCCACTGACATAGGTCAACCAAGTTAATTGAGATGCACAAGAGATGTCTTTAAATCCTGGAGTCTGAATATTTTTTAAAGATCTGATGGGGGTGGACAGATGGGAAGTGTAAACAGAGGAGGCAACAATGCTTGATAAGAAATGTACTCATTACCTTGTTCATGTAATTGTAACCCCTCTGTACGGTATTTTCACAATTAAAAAAAAAAGATCTGATTGATCCCTTTAATTGTATGAGATGGTTCACTTTAACAATTCCCACCACCAAACCTTGTGAACATTTTTTTTAAACAAAACCACAGTGTGTGTCCCCACATATTCCTAACCAGGCAATCTCAAGATAACCAATAACTTGAAGCAAGCTCAAAAAGATTCCATTGTCACATAACCATTGGGGGGGGGGGGGTTTGTACACTCAGAGAACGTAATAGATGTTTGAGAAGCAAGTCAAGTGGTATACACTACTTACCCTTTGGATTCCCTAACTCATAACTAGAAGTTAAGAAAGGAACAACAAAGAAAAGCAATGAAAACTCCAATCTGGGGTTGGAGGCGTGGCTCAATTGGTAGATTGCCTGCCAATGAGTGGTGCACAGTTCAAGTCCCAATTGTGGACACGGGGAAAAAAGAAAAAAGAAAAAGAAAATCCCAAATGCCACATCTGCGCAAACCCTATCTGCCATGTTGACTGCTCAGGCAAAGAGCCTTAGCCCAAATCATGATCCATAGAACAATGCCACAGCAAGAGGTCCACAAATATTAGATGTCAATTTTAGAAAAACAACAACAACAAAAGAATATAGAAAGACTCGTGGTAGCCAAGCAGACATTGAGAATGTCTGTCCCAATCCATACACCTAAAAGCCATCACAGCCCAATGGGTGGATTTGGCATTTGACACTGGCCAGGTAAGGCCCCGCCCCTTCTATTGAACACTCCTACCCTCCCTCTGTCTTATAACAACCTTGTCCAGTTCACTCTGTCTGTGGTACTGCACCGCCAGAGGTGGTGGCTTGGCTAAGCTGAAGAATCCAGTCACTACAGGGACACTAAGACCAATCAGGGTTGCCAGAGAGAATGCTCTGCACCCTGCCCGCCCCAGTCATCATCCCAGCCTTCTAAGAGGAGACTCACGTCTGTGGTTCTCGTTTCTGTGGTTAGGTGGGGAGCGGGTCTCCTGATCCTGGGCTTCATCCCCCTCTTCGCTGGCCAGATGGGTGTGCGCATAGTGATAGCTGAGGCCTGGCCGGTTCTTGTAGCGCTTCCCGCAGACTAGAGAAGAAAAAGAGGGAGAAAGGGGAAATGTCACCACCGTCCACCATTCCTGCAGACACTTCTTGCATTCTCCCAGGCAGCGATCCCCAGCTATCTCCCCAGTCCTCAGTTGCCCTTTGAATGTAAAGTTACAGTGACAGTTATCCTCACTCAACATGTACTTGGCATAACCAATCCAAATATCCACAGGCACTGGGGTATTTGTAGACAGAAGATGTATATGAGACCAGAAACGCTTAGTGACTTGCCTAGGAATACATAGCAGAGCCACCAGCAAACCCAGTTCTCCTGGGTCCCTCTGCACTGCTCCTTCTACTATCCTGTGATCTATTCTGTTTGACGAAAGAAACCTTTTGGTGGTTACTTGGAGATAAGAGACACAGACATTTCCTGCCCAAGCTGGCCTCTGACCATGATCCTGAGTAGCTGGGATTACAGGCATGAGCCACCAGCACCCAGTGTAATAATAATAAACAGGTTCCACTCGCTACTATGGAAATCACAGAGCTAAGGCATCTTTGGCAGATGAAGCGACCAACACCCACATTTATGACCTCAGCACCCCAGACAGCCTTTGGTACCCCATCCTGTAATGGGGTGCTCACAATCACTCTCTCTCAAACCGGACAGCTTGAGACAAAGGCAAGACACAATATGCATATGGAGCTAAGAAGGAAGAAGGTAGCCCTGTCCACTGGCTGCTCAGGATGTAGGAAGCAGAAGGGTGGCTAGTTGATCTAAAGTTAGAACTACCAAACTCAGCCCAAATCTCAGCCTCTGGGGGAATGGATGCAATCCCAGCTGGTTCCATCCTCCTTCTTTTTATTTTTGTCAGTTGTGGGGCTTGAACTCAGGGCCTGGACGCTGTCCCTCAGCTCTTCAGCTCAAGGCAAGCACTCTACCACTTGAGCCAGCACCATTCCAAGCTGGTTCCATCCTTCCCATCCCCAGGAGGCAAGGTAGAGGTCTTCTTCCGGAGTATGTCCAGTGACAAGTCCCCCACTCCCCTGGGGCTGAGGTTGACAGTGTGTACCAGGTTGTGTACTTGCCACATGAGGTAGAAAGATCCAGATGTCAACATCAGGCCTGAATTGGGTTCAAATCCCAGTTCCAAGTGCCCAAGTTCAGTGATCACATGACCCTGCCCCTGCTTCTACACCTTACCCAGTACCTTAGCACTTCTCCTATTCTTGCTTTCTCTACCAGCTTCTTCTGGGGGGGTATTTTTGTTAAACAGCCATTGGCAAAAGTGATAGATAATCTCATCTCTTCTTTCCCATGCTTGTATTAACTATTGTGTCTTAGCTTTATGCATTCTGAATACTCATTGGGACAATATTTATAAATAGCAAAAAATCAAACATGCCCTATTTTAAGGAAGTTGGATTTAGTGTTTCACTGTTTAGAATGGTATAGGTAACTAGGGTTTGTTTTCTTTTAAACTTGTTCAAATGGAAGCAGCTCCTCTTATTCCACTTTTAGAGTTTTATTGTAGGAGAAATTAGCTGCCCTTTCTGCTGCTTCTACAAATATATAACTCTCCTCTCACTTAAGGACGTGGTGAATTCTGTTGGATCCTGTTATTGAACCACTCTTGCATTCCTAGAATACATTCCTTTCGGTGAGAGGATATTATTCATTCAATACACTTCTGCATCCTATTGGCTAATCATGTACCTGCACTCAGATTTGACATCCATCTACAACTTTGGACTATGGTTAGCACGCTTCAATTTTATAGTTATGTCAACTTCCAAAAACAAATTGAAGTGTTTTGCTGTGTGAGATTGGACAAGATATATAATCTTTCTGCCTTTGCCCAGAAAATGAGGATAAATAACAATACACACTTATATACGTAGTATTCGTAAAGCATCTCACTTGGTGGCCAGCACATAATAGATGCTCAGTGAACTGTAAGTGACATGTTAGGTGCTAAACACTAAGAGAGGCATTTTGATCCTTGCTGCATAATATAGTCATGGTGTAGAATCTGGCCATTGGTTGGACTTCTTTGATAAGGTAAGATGAACATTTGAAATGCAAGTTCATGATCTAACAACTATAAATTCAAGGCTTCCTCTTATAAGATGGTACTGCACATCTCAGTTCCATATGACTAAGGAAGATTGGACCCAAAGAAGCCCCTGCGGTGTACTCTGGGCCTGCTTGTAGCTTTTTCCATTTAACCTTTTATATGATCTGCAGTCAATACACAGCAAATTATGGAGCCATTGGATATATACACATTTAGTCACCAAGCATAGTGATGAGGAATGGATCTATTAAATGTAGTAAAGTTATCAGCAGTTCTACAAGGAGGCCTTGGCCACCTCTGCCCATTAGAAACTCCACCACATTTCTTCTGTGCTGTTAGTAAGCCAATTTCTGTGTTTTCCGTAATCACAGAAATCCAGAATCTTCCTGGTCACCTGATCTAACCATCTAGTCAATTGCTTTGCTCCCATAAACTCTGAAGACCTCTGCTAGGACAACTCCACTACCCCTCACAGCAGACACTATTCGGATCTCCTTGGTCCACCATTATGTCCAAGCTGAAGGCCTCCCTGACAACCTGTTTCCTATTAATTTCATCTTAACATCAATGACTCCCCCTCACCTCTTGCCTTGCACATACTACAAGCCCTATTTTGTTGAGTAGCTGATGGATGAATCTAAAAACACCTTGTGGGAAATGCCAAGCAACAAGGGTGCGGGCAAGCTTGTAGTATCTGATCCATCTACAATTCATTTCATGGGCGTGGCTCTTAAAACCTACAGTGCTCCCTCAACTTCCTTCACACTATAAAGAACCACTCTTTTTAGAATAAATCCTTTTTGCTAGAACAGAGATTCTCAAAGTCAAGTCCTCAAACAAGCATCATCAATAACCACCTGAAAACTCATTCTAGAAGCAAAGTCTCAGGCTATACCCCAGACCTACCAAACCAGGGATCATGGACATAGAGGTTAGCTATTTAGGGCTGAACAAACTGGGTGACCCAAGTGACCACTAATGTTTGCAAAGATTGACTCAAGGCCTGACTCTGCCCACCATAGGTCTACTTGTGGAGGGATATGGCCTATAGAAGCAGTGGAGATAGCCGTGAGACTTGAGGTTGGCTATTTAAAGAACCAAGCTCAGGAAGCACAGGGAAGTCCTGGAAGCCAGGACTCCTTTATGAAGAGCCCTCTGGATGAAACTGTGTGTGTGTGTGTGTGTGTGTGTGTGTGTGTGTGTGTGTGTGTGTACTGGCACTGGGGCTTGAACTTAGAGCCTTGCACTTTCATTTAGCTTTCTTTGCTCAAGGCTAGCACTCTGCCACTTGAGCCCCAGCTCCACGTCCAGCATTTTTTGCTTATTAATTGTGGGAAAGAGTTTCACAGACTTTCCTGCTCAGGGTAGCTTCAAACTGTGATCCTCAGCTCTCAGCCTCCTGAGTAGCTAGGATCACAGGCATGAGCCACCTGTACCTGGCTAGAACTGAATTTTGTCACCTGCTTGAACAGTGTCATTTGTTGAGCACTAGATCTTCAATTCAAAAAAAATGTATTAAACACCTAATACGTATATACCCCGTCCTGTGGTATAGGGCAAAGATAAACTCCCTCAGGGAGTTGACAGTTTAAGAGAAGAGACAGGAGATGGGGTAAATACAGCTGTGAACATGTACAGTAAGAGTGAAGCTGAGCTAGGAGAGATGGCCTCCCTGAGAAGAAGCCCCTGCTCAGCATGTGTGAGATGAGCAAGAACTTAGCAGTGGAGAAAGCAGGCCAAAGCAGGCTGGGCCCAGGAGCACAGCCATCCAGCACCACAGCGGGCCAGAAAGCTGGAGGGGTTGGGACAGGAGGAGAGGGCTAACAAGAGAGGCTGCTGGGGGAATTTTACCACATTAATCTGACCCATGTTACAACACTACTTAAAGTGATAGGGCAGAGGATAAATTGGAAGACGGTGACAGGCTATTTTCATTGTCTCTGGGGCAACAATAAAGACTTAGGGTGGAAAGAAAGCATAGGGGAGGGAGTAAAAAAAGAGTCTGAAAGAAAAGAATGTAAGAAAGCAAGGAGCAGCACCAGGGGCTCACATCTGTCACCCTAGCTACTCAGAAGACTGAGATCTGAAGACTGATTCAAAAGCAGTCCAAGCAGACAAATCCATGAGACTTACCTCCTCCAATTAACCAGCAAAAAGCCAAAAGTGAAGGTATGACTCAATTGGTAGGGAGCTAGCCTTGAGCAAAAAGCCCAAGTGAGGGCCCTGAGTTCAACCCCCAGTACCAGCACACACACACACACACACACCCCAAACTAAATAGAAGATGGCAGAGAAAGAGAAAGGAATTTTTTTTAAAATTTGTTAACAAGACTCACACTAGAACAAGCAACATAACTCAAAGGAAGATTTCAGGACAGCAGTAACAATGAGGCCTAGTCACAGCGCCTGCCACCAGCTACGAGTACTCACTCCATGGCAGGACCCTCCAAGCATATCACGTGATCATGCTCATGGTAACCTGAATTCTCATCTTAAAGATGAGTAGACTCGGGAGCCCAGGCAGAACCATGTTAGTGTCCGATGCCTGAGAAGGATCAAGAGGGGTGGAGATGAGAAGGATCCCCTGGATGTGCCAATTAGGACAGCCACTCAGTGAGAGTGGGCTCTGAGACTTCATGAGCAAAGAGGGCTAGGATGCCCCTGGGAATGAGGGAGGAGGAACAGAGCCCAAAGAGGGCTCCAGCTACGCGAGGAGGAGAGAGGGCAGCTGTGGGCGGAGGCTCCACAGGGATGGGGGAGCTTGGGTGCTGCTCATTCTTTTCTGGGGAAGATCTGTGAACAGGTCTCCCAGACTGAAGTGAGGCAGTAGGAGGGAGGGTAGTTTGAAAGGCTGGGTTAATGGAACAGATGTTGACTCCAAAACAAAGCATCTAACCCCAAGATTTCCAATGACGTCATCCCATGGGGCAAAGAAGTGTGTGTGTGTGTGTGTGTGTGT